CTTGTTGCAAACCTTTGCACTTTCTCTAGTTTTTTCACGTGCTTTGCTAGGTGTGGGTTCCAAACTGGTGCCGCATACTCCAATATGGGCCTAACGTACACAATGTACAGGGTCCTGAACGATTCCTTATTAAGATGTCGGAATGCTGTTCTGAGGTTTGCTAGGCGCCCATATGCTGCAGCAGTTATTTGGTTGATGTGTGCCTCAGGAGATTTAACTGGTGTTATATTCACCCCAAGATCTTTTTCCTTGAGTGAGGTTTGTAGTCTCTGGCCCCCTAGACTGTACTCTGCCTGCGGTATTCTTTGTCCTTCCCCAATGTTCATGACTTTGCACTTGGTGGGGTTGAACTCCAGGAGCCAATTGCTGGACCAGGTCTGCAGCCTGTCTAGATCCCTTTATAGTTCTGCCTGGTCTTCGTCCGAATGAATTCTTCTGATCAACTTCACATCATCTGCAAACAGTGACACCTCAGAGTCTATTCCTTCCGTCATGTCGTTCACAAATACCAGAAACAGCACTGGTCCTAGGACTGACCCCTGTGGGACCCCTCTGGTCACAGGTGCCCACTCTGACACCTGGCCACGTACCATTACTCGCTGCTGTCATCTTGTCAAGTATTCCCTGATCCATTGTGTATGTGTGTGTGTGTGTGTGTGTGTGTGTGTATGTTAAATATTCGGAAGAACAATACAAGTAACATATACCATCCTTTTTAACCCAGAATATACACACTGAGCGCTGTGTATGTCCAAAGATATATTTTTCCAGCAAAAAGAAACTGAAAGGTTTATTTAATCTCTATTTTGAAAACCAAAGTATTCTTGACTGGTGATGATCACGTGACTAGCAGGATTAATGACCCTCTGTAGTAAATAAATCGGAAATGGAAGGATGAGTAGAGGTCCCAAAAAGAGTTGTAGGGAGGATGTAAAGGAGGTTTTGAGTGCTATGGGGTTGAACGTCCAGGAGGTTTGAGTGAAGCTGTTAGATCAGAGTGAGTGGACGCAAGTGGTTTTAGGAGTTTCCATGCTGTTGGAGTGTAAGCAAGATAATATTTATGAAGGAATTCAGGGAAGCCTGTTAGCCGGACTTGAGTCCTGCTGGTGCAAAGTACCATGTCTGCACTCTGAAGGAGGGATGGCGATGTTTCACTCGATGTCTGCATTCTGAAGGATGGATGGCGATGTTTCACTCATAGGATCGATAAAGACATGAAAGCAATATAAAGCAATTCTTTACTGACAACGTTTCGCTCACGCAGTGGGCTTTATCAAGTCACAAACAGATCTGTTTGCTACTTAATAAAGCCCACTGTATGAGCGAAACGTTGTCAATAAAGTATCACCTTATACTGCCTTCTTTTCTTCGTCTCTTTGGTATTTTACACCAAACATCTCCATTTTGGAGAGTCATTCAGACTCCTATGTCTGTACACTTTTTTTTTACACAGGGTTTGACAAGGTTAAGGATCCCTAGCTTTATTGACAAGCTATTTACAGGTTAAGGATCCCTAGCTTTATTGGCAAGCTATTTACAGGTTAAGGATCCCTAGCTTTATTGACAAGCTATTTACAGGTTAAGGATTCCTAACTTTATTGACAAGCTATTTACAGGTTAAGGATCCCTAGCTTTATTGACAAGCTATTTACAGGTTAAGGATTCCTAACTTTATTGGCAAGCTATTTACAGGTTAAGGATTCCTAACTTTATTGACAAGCTATTTACAGGTTAAGGATTCCTAACTTTATTGGCAAGCTATTTACAGGTTAAGGATTCCTAACTTTATTGACAAGCTATTTACAGGTTAAGGATTCCTAACTTTATTGGCAAGCTATTTACAGGTTAAGGATTCCTAACTTTATTGGCAAGCTATTTACAGGTTAAGGATTCCTAACTTTATTGGCAAGCTATTTACAGGTTAAGGATTCCTAACTTTATTGACAAGCTATTTACAGGTTAAGGATTCCTAACTTTATTGGCAAGCTATTTACAGGTTAAGGATTCCTAACTTTATTGGCAAGCTATTTACAGGTTAAGGATTCCTAACTTTATTGGCAAGCTATTTACAGGTTAAGGATTCCTAACTTTATTGGCAAGCTATTTACAGGTTAAGGATTCCTAACTTTATTGGCAAGCTATTTACAGGTTAAGGATTCCTAACTTTATTGGCAAGCTATTTACAGGTTAAGGATTCCTAACTTTATTGACAAGCTATTTACAGGTTAAGGATTCCTAACTTTATTGACAAGCTATTTACAGGTTAAGGATCCCTAGCTTTATTGACAAGCTATTTACAGGTTAAGGATCCCTAGCTTTATTGACAAGCTATTTACAGGTTAAGGATTCCTAACTTTATTGACAAGCTATTTACAGGTTAAGGATTCCTAACTTTATTGGCAAGCTATTTACAGGTTAAGGATTCCTAACTTTATTGACAAGCTATTTACAGGTTAAGGATTCCTAACTTCATTGGCAAGCTATTTACAGGTTAAGGATTCCTAACTTTATTGGCAAGCTATTTACAGGTTAAGGATTCCTAACTTTATTGACAAGCTATTTACAGGTTAAGGATTCCTAACTTTATTGGCAAGCTATTTACAGGTTAAGGATTCCTAACTTTATTGACAAGCTATTTACAGGTTAAGGATTCCTAACTTTATTGGCAAGCTATTTACAGGTTAAGGATTCCTAACTTTATTGGCAAGCTATTTACAGGTTAAGGATTCCTAACTTTATTGACAAGCTATTTACAGGTTAAGGATCCCTAGCTTTATTGACAAGCTATTTACAGGTTAAGGATCCCTAGCTTTATTGACAAGCTATTTACAGGTTAAGGATTCCTAACTTTATTGACAAGCTATTTACAGGTTAAGGATTCCTAACTTTATTGGCAAGCTATTTACAGGTTAAGGATTCCTAACTTTATTGACAAGCTATTTACAGGTTAAGGATTCCTAACTTCATTGGCAAGCTATTTACAGGTTAAGGATTCCTAACTTTATTGGCAAGCTATTTACAGGTTAAGGATTCCTAACTTTATTGGCAAGCTATTTACAGGTTAAGGATTCCTAACTTTATTGGCAAGCTATTTACAGGTTAAGGATTCCTAACTTTATTGGCAAGCTATTTACAGGTTAAGGATTCCTAACTTTATTGGCAAGCTATTTACAGGTTAAGGATTCCTAACTTTATTGGCAAGCTATTTACAGGTTAAGGATTCCTAACTTTATTGGCAAGCTATTTACAGGTTAAGGATTCCTAACTTTATTGACAAGCTATTTACAGGTTAAGGATTCCTAACTTTATTGACAAGCTATTTACAGGTTAAGGATTCCTAACTTTATTGGCAAGCTAAGAGCTGTTACCTACATCAGCTCATTTGAAAGCATTTTTATTGTTATGAGACATACAAGTAGGGAACAGGATGAAATTGAAGCCATCTGTGGGCCAGCATTTTCATTTGATCAACTGACTTTATCTCGTTGACGTCATTATGCTGTACGAATGTGTTTCATACTGGAGTCATCCTGGGTATGTATGTATGATCTCAGATGGAGTGATGTTCTGGAGATGGGTACAGCCAGAGTGAAGTTGCTGCTTTCTGCCCGTCTTGTGGTATAAAAGCTTGTTTGACGCTGTCCTCGAAGTGGATCCAAGTGTGGTACTTTGACAATATTGGCCTTGTACTTCTGGCAATACAGCTATTGAACGAATAATGGTGACTGTGTTTCCTCTTGGATCACTCTTCTTTGGTGGAACATATCCAGTGTTGAAAATGTTTCGTAAAGGAGTATACAAATCACAAAACATGGTTTGTGTTGCAGGTGTTGCGTGACCTGGCTGGTTTAACTTTGCACTTCCTCACACGCAAGTAATAAACCACGGTACAGGTGGGGTTAGAACCCATGGCAAGTGAGTAGTGAAGCTCCAGGCCAGTGCGTAAACCACTGGGCCACTATAAATGCACCTAGTTGGATGAATCTTATTGTAGCCAGCTGGCCCAGTTGTTTACGCACTGGCTTGGAGTTTCACGACTTGATAAATTAGACACATATGCAACACTTGGGTATCTTAAAGATACCCAAGTGTTGTACATGTGTCTAATTTATCAACTTGTCGATTCTCTGACCCATTCATCTAGTTTCATGACTCACTTGCCAAGGATTCTAACCCCACCCATATCCTGATTTGCTTGTAATCTTGTTATTACGATTTTCTGAATGAAATAACAGCAAGAACAATAACAATAATAATAATAATAATAATAATAATAATAATAATAATAATAATAATAATAACAATAATAAAAATATAATAATAATAATAATAATAATAATAATAATAATAATAACAAAAATAAAAATAATAATAATAACAATAATAATAATAATAATAATAATAATAATAATAATAATAATAATAATAACAATAATAATAATAATAATAATAATAATAATAATAATAATAATAATAATGATAATAATAATAACAATAATAATAATAATAACAATAATAATAATAATAATAATAATAATAATAATAATAATAATAATAATAATAACAATAATAATAATAATAATAATAATAATAATAATAATAATAATAATAATAATAATAATAATAACAATAATAATAATAATAATAATAATAATAATAATAATAATAACAATAATAATAATAATAATAATAATAATAATAATAACAATAATAATAATAATAATAATAATAATAATAATAATAATAACAATAATAATAATAATAATAATAATAATAATAATAATAATAATAACAATATTAATAATAATAATAATAAATAATAATAATAATAATAATAATAATAACAATAATAATATAATAATAATAATAATATAATAATAATAATAATAATAATAATAATAATAATAATAATAATAATAATAATAATAATAATAATAATAATAATAATAATAATAATAATAATAATAATAATAATAATAATAATAATCATTATATTACAGGTTCTGTCGGTAATAACAATGACGTGCGCGTGTACGGTTGGTACTGCACGACTCAGCATATTCGTGCTGCCGGGAGCGTGGAGGCTGCGAGTGGTGGTGTTCACTGCAGTGTTCACCATCCTCACCACCACCATACTTCTCCTACTTCACCTCTCCTCCCTCGTGCACTCACTCACGCTACGCTGGGATAAACTGGTCAGTCTCTTACCTTATTACACTAACACATTTTTCTCTGCATATATATAAACAATACTTGAAAGTGCAAACATTATTTGCATAAAAATCAAGATTTATATTGGTTACAAAACTGTGTGGTAAATGTTACAATGTTGATAGTGAAAAATGTTTATAAATTAAAATGTTTATTATAGTTATATGTTTATACAGAGTATTTCAGGCTGATTGACATTATATCTTCTTCTTCTTCTTTTTCTTCTTCTTCTTCTTCTTCTTCTTCTTCTTCTTCTTCTTCTTCTTCTTCTTCTTCTTCTTCTTCTTCTTCTTCTTCTTCTTCTTTTTTTTTTTTTTCTTCTTCTTCTTCTTCTTCTTCTTCTTCTTCTTCTTCTTCTTCTTCTTCTTCTTCTTCTTCTTCTTCTTCTTCTTCTTCTTCTTTTTCTTCTTCTTCTTCTTCTTCTTCTTCTTCTTCTTCTTCTTCTTCTTCTTCTTCTTCTTCTTCTTCTTTTCTTCTTCTTCTTCTAATAATAATAATAATAATAATATTAATAATAATACCATTAATATTTATTAATAATAATTGTTGTTCCTACAAGTACATGATACAATTTATACAGACCATAGTAGTATACTTTTCTTCTGTGTGGCTCGGAATTAACACCTAGGTGTTACTTCCGGTCTAGGTGTTACTTCCGGTCTAGGTGTTACTTCCGGTCTAGGTGTTATTTCCGGTCTAGGTGTTACTTCCGGTCTAGGTGTTACTTCCGGTCTAGGTGTTACTTCCTGTCTAGGTGTTACTTCCGGGCTAGGTGTTACTTCCGGTCCAGGTGTTACTTCCGGTCTAGGTGTTACTTCCGGTCTAGGTGTTACTTCCGGGCTAGGTGTTACTTCCGGTCTAGGTGTTATTTCCGGTCTAGGTGTTACTTCCGGTCTAGGTGTTACTTCCGGTCTAGGTGTTACTTCCGGTCTAGGTGTTACTTCCGGTCTAGGTGTTACTTCCGGTCTAGGTGTTACTTCCGGGCTAGGTGTTACTTCCGGTCTAGGTGTTACTTCCAGTCTATGTGTTACTTCCGGTCCAGGTGTTACTTCCGGTCTAGGTGTTACTTCCGGTCTAGGTGTTACTTCCGGTCTAGGTGTTACTTCCGGTCTAGGTGTTACTTCCGGTCTAGGTGTTACTTCCGGTTTCTCCTTCGCCCGGACATAGGTGTGAAATTTCAGTTTTATGCTAATGACCCTGATCTCACCCTCGACCCCTCCCCTTCGACCCCACCCCACCCATGACCCCCGCCCGCGTCCCCCGCGCGCCCCCCCGCCTCCCCCCGCCCGTGCCCCCGAGTCCTCCCGCGAGCCCGCCCGCACGGCCACCCGCGCCCGCGCCTTCTGCAGCGTCCGCCGGATCGCCCCCGCTCCCCGATTTTTTTCCGATTTTTTTCGAATTTTTTTGTGTTCTCTATCTCCTCGGATCAACACCCTCCCCCACACCTCCCACCATCCACTTCTACCCTCTATGTCCATATATTCCTGCTCCATCTCCTCGGATCAAGTTTTCAAATTCCTCTATGGGTACCCCTCTCACCATCCACTTCTACCGCAAATATTCCTGCTCTACTTCCTTGGATCAAGACCTCATCCCCCCAAATTTTCGAATTTTCTTATGATCTCTAACTCCTTGGATCAAGATTTACCCTCTATCCCCCCCACACCTCCCACCATCCACTTCTACCCTCTATGTCCAAGTATTTCTCCTCCACTTCCTTGGATCAAGACCTCATTCTCCCCACACACCACTCTCTAAACCCAATATTCCTGCTCCATCTCCTCGGATCAAGTTTTTGGGTTCCCCCTATGGGGGTAAGCATTCAAAATGGACTTCCCTACGGGGCATGGTACTTTCTCTTAATACAGGTCTAAACAAGTGTGACGTCACCCCACCTGTGTTTACTCAGCGGTCAGTGACGTCACGTGATGACCTCACACACACACAAGCCAACAGGAAGAATCAGGTCTGTCACCATAACCATTTTTTGGGCTCCCAGACTCGACAACAACACCCACATCCCACAACCCATAACTTATAACCTTTTATTTTGGCATCTCTAGTTCAACAACAACACCCACAACCCACATCATTTTCACTCTTAACCAGGATAACACAAATAATTTCACATTGGTTAATAAACCCCCAAAATCCCAATTTTTACTATACACAAAAGCTAGACTCTCCTTAAGTCTAGTTGGCAAATCTTTTGATTTACCTTGAGATTAAATCTCAGGTCAGACTCACCAAGGTTAACCTCTCTCTCTAACCAAAACCAACTTCACTTCTACCATGAGAGATTTAAGCCTAGATATTTCTACTAATTCTTTTAAATATTTCACACATACCTTAATTTCAGTAAAATCCATGGGTTTTAATTTAAAATTTAATTCAATCCTTTTTACCCCTTCTCCCCCCAAAAAAAAGTTTAACCTTCTCCCCCCAAAACCTTACCAATATTCGAAAAGGCCTAAAAAACCCCCCCCTTCTCCCCCCCAAACCTTTTACCCCTTCCTCCCCCCAAACCTTAAAACCCCTTTCCCCCCCAAACTTTACCCTTCTCCCCCCCAAACCTTTCCCCTTTCTTCCCCCAAACCTACCCCCCTTTCCCCCCAAACTTTTTAATTCTCCCCCCCCAAATAAAACCCCTTTTCCTCCCCCAAACCTTTTACCCCTTTCCCCCCCCAACCACCCTTTTTCCCCCCAAAACCACCCCTTCTTTCCCCCAAACCTTACCCCCTCCCCCCCAAACCCTTCCCCTTTTCCCCCCCCCAAACCTTACCCTTCTCCCCCCAAAAATACCCTTCTCCCACCCAAACCTTACCCTTTCCCCCAAACCTTACCCTTCTCCCCCCCCAAACCTTACCCCTTCTCCCCCCCAAACCTTAACCCCTTTCCCCCCAAACCTTACCCTTCCCCCAAACCTTACCCCTTCTCCCCCCAAACTTACCCCTTTTTCCCCCCAAACTTACCCTTCTCCCTCCAAAACTTACCCTTCTCCCCCAACCTTACCCTCTCCCCCCAAAACCTTACCCCCCTTTCTCCCCCCCCAAACCTACCCCACTTCCCTCCCCCCCCAAAACCCTTTCCCCTTCCCCCCCCAAACCACCCCCTAAAAACCCCCCAAACCTAAAACCACCTCAACACTCACCCCCAAACCAAAAACCCCCTCCCCCCCAACAACCACCAAACCCCCTCCCCAAACCCCCCCCCAAACCACCCCCTAACCCCCCCCCCCCAACCTCCCCCCCCCAACCACACCCCCCCCCCAACTCCCCCCCCCACCCAAACCCCCACCCCCCCCCAAAAACCCCCCCTTACAAACCCCCCCCCCAAACCTTACCCCAAACCCCCCCCCAAACCCCCCACCCCCCCCCCCCCAAACCCCCCCCCCCCCTCCCCCCCCAAACCCCCCCCCCCCCAAACCCCCAAAACCCCCCCCCCCCCAAACCCCCCCCCCCTTTTCCCCCCCCCAAACCCCCACCCCCCCCCCCAAACCCCCCCAAAACCCCCCCCCAAACAAACCCCCCCACCCCCCCAACACCCCCAAAACCCACCCCCCCCAAAACACCCCCCCAACACCCACCCCCAAACCCCCCCCCCCAAAACCCCCCCAACCAACCCCCCCCCCCCAAACCCCCCACCCCCAACCCCACCCCCACCCACCCACCCCCCACCCAAAACCCCCCCCCCCCAAACCCCCCCCCAAAACCCACCCCCCACCAACCCTCAACCCCCTCCCACCAAACCCCCCCCACCAACCCCCACCCCCCCAACACCCACCCCCACCAACCCCACCCCACCAAACACCCACCCCCACCCAAAAACCCCCACCCCCACAACACCAACCCACCAACAACAAAACCACCAAAACACAAAACACAAAACACAACACACCACAACCACACACACCCACACACACACCACACACACACCACACGCAACACAACACACACACACCCCCACACAACACCACAAAAACCCCACACAAAACACACACCACACAACACACACACACACCACACACACACAAAACCCCACACAAACACCACAACACACAAAAGTCCCATAGCCCCCAATTTTTAAAAAAAGGGGAAACGGGTTTGGGAAAGCACAAAACTACAGACCAGTGTCACTGACATGTTTTAGTAGAAAAATCAGGGAAAGAATTAATCAGGAAAAGAGTGGTGGAACCCCTAAAAAGGAATGATCTCATCAACGGGCAGCCCAAACATGGTTTCAGGGAGGGGGAAACCCTGTGCCCACAAACCTACTGGAGTTCTATGCCCGGGGTGACGGGAAATTTTAAGAAAGAGAGAGGGGGCCCTGTGTGGATTCCCATTTTTTGGACTGCAAAAAAGGCGTTTGACACTTTTCCACACAAGAGATTGGTGCAAAAACTGGGGGAAACCAAGCAGGGAAAAACGGGGAAAGGCACTACAAGGGGAATCGGGGGAAATACTTGTGGGGAAGACAGCAGCGAGTAGGGTACGTGGCGAGGTGTCAGATTTGGGGCCCCTGTAAATAGGGGGGTTTCCCGCGGGGGGTTCAGTCCTGGGGCCCCAGGGGCTGTTTTGGAAATTTGTGAAACGACGGGAGGGAAAGGGGGGGAAAATTGGGACCCCTGGGTTTTTTCCCTGTTTGCAAAATGACGTGAAGTTGATGGAAAAATTTTTACACTCGATCAAAGCCCAGGCAAAAAACTCCCAAGGGGTTTTTGGAAACGGGTGCAAAACCCTGGTCCAGAAATTTGGGCCCCCTGGTTTTTTCAATCCCACCAAGTGCAAAGCCCAAGAAGATTGGGGAAGGGCAAAAAAGGGCCCGCAGAGGGGAAGTACAGTCTAAACCCCAGGGTCAGAGACTACAAAAACCCCCCTCAAGGGAAAAAAAATCTTGGGGTGAGGTTTTAAAAACCAGGCACATCTCCTGAAGCGCACATCAAACCAAAAAAAACTGCGGCCCGCATTTTGGGCGCCTAGCAAACCTCGAAACCCGATTTCCCCACCTCTTAAAAAGGAATCAT